TATCTTAATAAAAAAATAATAGAAGACTAAAAATAAAAGACTAATTAGTAAAAGTATATAAAATAATTAGTGTTAGTAATAATTAAGAAAATAAAATAAAACTAGCTAAACTAAAAAGATTATTATAGAACTATTACCTAATTACTACTATTATTACCTTTATTTTTACTAACTTTACTATTACTACCTTTATTACTAGTAAGATTATTATCCTCCTTAGAGGATAAGGCCTTAGAATCCTTTTAGTCTAATTTATACTCCTTTATAATAGTAGCTATAACCTTCTTCTCCTTATTATACTAAGTAGTAAACACTTAGTTAGTAGGTAATATATAAGGAACTAGTTTCTTATTATTATAAGTCTAGTTATACTTATAAGTATCCTCTTACTTATTAAGCTTTTAGTAAATAGTATATATATACTTATAGTCTATAAAAGGAATACTATAAAAATACTTATAGGGAGTAAGGGCAGCCTTATGCTCTTTATTAGCCTTTTACTTAGCTATTACTACTTTATACTTCTTCTCTTTAGCTTTATAAGTAACCTTAGTAGTATATATATTAGTATTACGCTTCTTTTTTATAGCCTTAGTAGTAGTAGTATCTTTTTTTTACTTATCTATAAGGGCGTGCTTCTTATAAAGATTAGCGTTTATAGTATAAGCACTTAGTAAAACCTTATCCTCTCTATTAGCCTTATATTTATCTAATTAATCCTTAACCTTATTATTAAAACCCTTATTAGAAAAAAGAACTATAATAGTAGGCTTAAGCTTAAGAGTATAGTAACACTTTAATAAAGACTTAGTAGCTCTAGCTAACTTACACTTAGTCTAAAGAGTATAGGTCTTATTACTATAAGTAATAGGTATAAAACCTATAATAGCTATAGTATAAGTAGGGATAAGATTATTAATATAGTTACTAATAGTATTATAAAACTCTAGCTACTTAAAGAAGTAGTTAAGGACACCCTTATAGGTAATATTATTATGTTTTTTATCTTAGCACTTATTAAGGAACTTAATATTCTTTTATAAAGCCCTTATATAGCTGTTATTATAAATATAAGCAGGCTAGAGCTAGCTAAGGCAGCTAATAACCTTTTTAGTATAAATAAGACCTACCTAAATAAAAAAGTTAGTTAGTAAAGGTAGTATAAAAATATAGTAATTTACCTAAAGCTTAATTAGAAGACTAAGATACTTATAGTTTAAAGTAAGCTTTTAGATAGTAATATAGCTTAAGTTTATAAGGCTAACGCCTATTAAAAGGTTAGTAATATAATTAGTAATATAAACCTAGAAGAAGAAGATATATAAAATAGTATCCTAGATACGCTAACGTTAGAGGTTAGTTAGCTTATAGTTAGTAATAACTAAGCGTAAATATATAAAGTAATTCTAGGTCTCTTAGGCTACTCCCTAAAGCTTATTAAGAACCTAAGAAAGTGTTAATAATAGTAAAAAAATAGTAAAAAGTTAATAAGAATATACTATAAAATATTTCTTCTTATTAATAGTATAAGTTATATACTTAGTAATATAAGCCCCCTAGTAATAAAAAAGGTAACTAATATTATAATAAAGCTATCTAAAGTAATTAATATAAAGCATACTACCCTTAAGGCTATTAAAGCCCTCCTCCTTATTATAAAGAAGCTTAAAGATATTTATAATATAAATAATAACGCTTATAATTATAAAACGTTTACTATAAGGATAAAAAGAAAAAAAGAATACTAAGAAAAAAGTAAAGAACTTCTTAAAATAAAAAAAAAAATTAGTAAGAAGGTAGTAAAGACTTAGTAATAAGAGTTTAAATAAGAGAGAAAAAAAAAAAAAAGTAAAAAATATAAAAAAAAAAAAATAATAAACGCTTAGTAAAACTATAATAAAAAAGAAAAGTAATAAAAAAAAAGTTCTTATATAAAGGGAACCTAAGAGGTATTTATACTTAAGGAGAAAAAAAGTACTTATATAACTATATAATAAATAGTTACTAAGGTAAAAAAGAAAAAAAATAATAAAGTAAGGCAGATAAAAGTAAGGTATATATAAAGGAATAATTATAATAATAATAAAGCTATAATATAAAAAAAGAATTTTTTATACTTAAAAAATAGGTCTAAAAAAAACTAGTAAATAGTAATAATAATATAAAAAAGACTTTAGTAAAAGAAAATAAGATAATAAAAGTAACTACTTAGTAAAATAATACTAAGCATAAAGGCATTTATAATACTAAAGGGAGGCCCTAACTAGCTAGGTTAATAATTAGTTAGTAACAGGTCGCTAGAGTAGGACCACTAGAGAACGTAAGGTGCACAGCTATAACAGAACGCCACAAACAACAGAGCCTTAGAAGGCCTTAGGGACCAAGGCCCTAGGAAGGGGGATAATTATAAGGGTGTTAAGACAAGGGTCGCGTAGAAACCACAGTAGAACCTCAGCAGTACGTCAGCAACTATTCGCCATTTAGTCCAGGCTAGAGGGGGAAAATCTTAGGCTCTCCAGCAAAAAGTCTAGTTAACAGAATAGACCTACCTTCTATACCCTTCCCAGTCAAGGCACTTAGCCATGTACCTTTACACTATTATCTACTACTATTTTATTTTTATTACTTATAAATTATTATATATTTTAAGGTAAAAAGTAACTTATATATAGGTAATTATTATATAATAGAATAACTATTCCTTAGCTAATTTACTATTACTTAGTTAGGCTAATAGCTATAAATTATACTAGCTATTTACTAACTAAAAGGTAGATAATTAGCTAATAATTCCTTACTAAAAGGCTAATAATTATTTAGGAATTACTAGATAATTACCTTACTATTATTAGAGAATTATTACGCTAATTAGTAAAGTATTAGCTAAGGAAATCCTCTATATATTTAAAGGAAAATAGGCCTCTAATATAGATAGAGAAAGGTATTAAATTTTATATCTTATTTTCTAGCACCTAAAGTATAACATACTCTATCTCTAAGAAGTATAAAAAGTAGATATATATAAATAGTAACTAGATTTACTCTAGGGTACTAAAAATAGAAATATCTACTTAAATAAAACTAGATATTAAACAGACTGTATTATACTATAACAAGCTGTAATAAGTAGTGTAACAGGCTGTAACTAGCTCTAAACAAGCTGTAATAATATAAGGTTTTAAATCTATATAATAGTATAATAGTATAATATAATATAAAGGTTAATATATATATTAGTAGAAATATAGAAGTTAGTTAATTATATATAGAGATAGATTCCCTTAAGGGATTTTAGCTCTCTATACCTTCTAAGTATAATAAAACTACACCTATCTTTCTACCTATCTATTTACCTATCTATCTAGTTAACCTACTAATCTACTTATTATTTCTTATTCTTTATAGTAACTAAATATAAGAATCTTATTAAATATAGTAGCTAAGTTAACTATATAAAGTATAGGCTTATCACTATCTAGGTATATTATATTAATAATAATATTATAGTTAAATTTATAGTTATTATATAGTGTAAATTTAAAGTAGCTAGACACCTTTATATTAAGTTAGTAGTAGTAGTAATACTTATTAATCTTTTTAAGTATAATAAGAGAGGTTAATTTACTTACTTATTTAAGTAGCTTATAAAGGTAATTTACTAATAAGTAGCTAAATTAGTAGTAAATCTAGTGTAATTTACTATTTATTAACTACTACTTTATAATAGTACTTTTAAGTAAATCTAAAGTATTTATATATAGCCTTAATTTTAAGTAATAAGTATAATAATCTTATTTTTAATAAGCTAATTAGTAAGGTTATTAAATTTTATACTATAGTAATCTATATCTTATAAGTAAAAAAGAAATAAGGTATTACTTATTATTATATAAAAAGTAAGTTTACTAATTAGTATAAGTATATAGATTATACTAAGGGATTTATAGTAATCTTTACTACTAAAGTAAATTATTACTTTACTAGTATAGGTAGTATCTAGTAAAATCCCCTTACTAAGGTGTTTTTTAAGGGTAAGGTACTACTATTAGCTAGCTATAAATACTTTAGCTACACTAGTGTTAAGTATAATACCTTTAAAAGTTAATACTAAATAGTAGTTATTAAATATAAAGATATTACTACTTTTTATAGTTAGGCTAGGTAATACTTATTTATATAGGTTTTTATAAGTAATAGTATAAAAGCTATTTCTTATTAAATCTTCTATAGTAATTTTATACTTTTTATAGTTTATTTACTTTTTATTAGTAATAGCTATTAGAACCTTTTCTATCTAGACTTTAAATTATAGAGCGTAAAGGTAAGCTAAGTAGGGATATTCTATAGGGTGTGCCTAACTTTTGATTTATATTTAATATATCAAATTCGCATAGCACAAGAGATACAGTAATGAAATCCTATAGCACGTTGCTGCATGGGGAATTTTATAAGGCCCCTCTTTAGATGCCAAGTTTCCAGTCCCCTTCTTGTTCCTTCAGCTAAGTCAATATACATTTTCTTGCATTTACAAGCGTCGGCCGCAAAAGTGAAAGTCAAATTTGTCCGGATTTTCAGCATTACACCTCCGGCTTTTGGTGAAACAGGGGAAAGTTACAGCTCGGTGTCAGGATCGACAACCCGTTCTTAGAAAACGATTTCTTTGGTTCATCTTGCCGACTCGCCAAAAATTGCAACTGGCTGTGATTGAAATATTAAGACTACTGAAACCTTCAATGACTTCGACTGATTCTTTCATTATCATTGATCTAAATACGAAACTGATAATAGTTCATTGCGGTATCAGAAATGCCAAGTACATAAAACTTTTCAACACGAGATGGGATGGTCACCAATGCTACGTTTACATAATACTCATACTGTTATTGTTCCCATATACGTGTGCGCAGATGTTTTCATGTTGCTAATACGAGGATCATCAAGTAGTCATGCAATAAAGGTCTGCCGCCTCAATGCAGAAATAAATTAGCTGCACTCAACAGCTAGTGTCTCGGCCGAATAAGAATATGTTTGGTTGGATTTGGCAAGATCTGCAAGTCTCCATGGTCAGTCTAGATATTTCAATGCGATTGGTGCAGGAGAATAACTTGGAGGAAGAGCAAGAAGTCTTTGGAATGTTTCACGTACGTATTGGCCAGAGTGGAGGTCTTCATATCTCTCGGTCACGCCATCTTCTGGGCGAATTTGGTAGCTGGCCAGTAGCTTGATGAGGAACATCTTAGCAATAGAACAGCCAGCCCATCGGCCAGGACACATGTGCGAAGCGTAGCCAAAGTTGACATCATCCCTTGTCGCGCTGCCCCAGTCGTATTTATTGGAGCCTATTGTTGTTGAAGACATCTTTTGCCGCAGGTCGTGATAGCGACGTCCATTCCACTCGGCCGGGTTCTCTAGGTTTGGGTTCGACAAGTGGGCCGCCGTCATGACCACCTCAAAGATGGTGCCTGCGGGAAGGACGACCCCGTTAGGCAGCGTTTGAGTCTTGTGGATCTTCTTCATCAGGTTTGCTGCTCGCCGGGGAAGCCCGGGTCTGGTTAGTAGAGGTTGCAATGATGGGCCAGGGCCGGAACGTACAGGCAGCTGTTGGATGATGTTTGTGAGTCTCTTTGCAGAAACTGTCCAACAGTGAAAGCCTGCGAAGGCTGTCCCGCGTGAATATCCAATGTTCCGATTGCTCCCCCAAGACTTTGTGTGCCTCCTCGAGCACCTGATCAACATAATCAGGACGGAATGCAAACTCGTAGACAACCTGCGTAGTTGAGGGCCCGGGCGAGAACACAAAGGTGAAGGCGAAACCAATCAAAATGTTAGTGAGGAACTTGTAATCACGGCGCTTCTCAGCCGGTGCCATGTTAACAAGCTCTGTAAACCACTCGTTATCCACCTCACTATTTGGTGATCCTTGTTCGAACGCTTGAACGTATTGCTCAAATATTGGTGTAAAGAACGCGGTTGCTTGCTCCAACTGTGCGTTGACGTGACGCACTTCATTTGAAAAGGCGGCAGTGATGCGAGCCATGATGGGTCTTTGTGCTTTGAGCCTCTTCATTACGGGTATCAGTGTAGCGGAGTACTGCTCGAATATGTCCACAACTTCTGGTCTGAAGCCTTTACCCATTATTACACGCCATATTACGTGAGAATAGACGTGTAGAATCTGGGGCTGCATGATAACACGCTTGCATTCTATCATGTGTGAACTACATCAGTAAAGTTCTCGGGATTGATGGGTAGGAAGTACGGGGGGGGTAGATTCATGGAATTCAAAACTTACTGTCTGCGGAATAATCAACCCCTTGATCTAGGATGCTGTATAAACCTTCGTCCAGTGCCTTGGATATGACATCAAGATAGCGGTCTTTCTCAGATGTTAGTCTTGAAAACTGGCATCGAGATATTGTAGAAACACATACCAAATCCCGGCATGCGTGTGCCGAGGTATCGGTAAAGAAAAGGCTCTTCGAATGGTGCGCCGTGCAAGTCACAGAGGAAAAACTTAGCCTCGTTAGCTGTGCTTATCCTCAAAAAGTTTTGCACTAGGTACAAACCTCTTTACGTGCGGGCGCGACCTCTTCGTCTTTCTTCTTACAAATCGCCAACCAATGTTCAGGCGAAATAAGGACTAGATCAGAGCCTGCAGCCGTCAGCATGTCGTCTATTGTATGTATTCGAGTTTTTTTTTTAGATGTCTTGGAGGATACTTAATTACCGTCTAGGGCCGTCACCCGGAACACGCCACTTTTGACCTCATGGAATCCTTTTTCAATAATCTTGACTCCATGAGCATTGAAGTCTTGCCTGGCCGCAAGCCAGGACTTTGAACTTGTGATTTTGGGAATGGAGCGGTCTTCAATGGCTCGATTGAGAACGAATGATAAGACGAAGGCTAATAGTATGGCGACGGAGAGAGCTGGGGTGCTGCTAAGCAGTTTTACCAGTTGTGGCGGCAAATGTAAGTGCAAAGAGATAGTGCTGGTGTCCATGTTCGGAAGACCTGTGTTGAATCAAGGATGCAGTTGTAGAAAGTATCGCGGCTGGAGCGAAAGAGAAAGAATAAGTAATTGATACTTTCCTTACCACACAATTATGTATGTTTCCACGTGATGATTATATGACCAAAGAATACGCTTCCTTGGTGCGTGGCCTATCAGATCATCAGCCCTATCAGATGCCTGGCCTGACTGCTTCTGGAGATAGTTTTGGAGATGTTATGCCAGGAGACCGGACTAGAGACCTTTAAAGCAAACTTTACCCGAGCTTCATTCCGAAGTAAGCGAAGTGTTGCAGAGACTCCGGACCTTAAACGATTGCCGATGAACTTACTACTCTGGCTTTACCGGACTCTCGGGTTTGTTTTCTGAACAGGTTACCGATGGCGAAAGTCAAAACCGAATACGTCGCCGCTTTGGGGATCCGACAAAAATGGACTTCTAGGCGAGTTCATAAGATACGTCTTTCACATTACATGCAATCGTCCGATAGGAACCTTGTCATCGAGCTTCGGTTTCTAACCGAGCTCAAGATCTTAAAGTTCCGCTCCTGGTCTGGTATTCTATGCCAGACCTGCGACCAAACAAGATCTCTCAGGACAAGAAAAGGCCCAGATTCTAAAGCACTCCTCCGGACATGTTAAAGTTAGCGTGAGAAACGCGTAGCCACTTATAAATGGGATTTCGGGACGGTCTCCTATGCTCCGTAGCCTTGTCCTAGTTATAAAACATTTAATATCGCCCTAGGCATTTGTGTCAAAATCCCTGCTATATGACCCCAACTATTCGCAATGTTGTTATGTTTCCAAGCATACCAATAATATTTACCAAAATCATTGCATGATTTATCTTTGAGTGTATATTCTGAGTTTTCACGTTCTACCTCAACTCAATACGTCTTCAAAATGGTCATGTCAACGAGCGGCCCGGAGCCCGAACGTCAAGAGGAGTTGCAATTCTGGCAAGATGAGATCTCGCACTCTCTTCTTTCCCTCATGCAGAGTGCCGGCTACTCTCTTAAGGAGCAGGAACATTATCTAGAGTTCACCAAACAGCATGTTTTCTCGTCTCTAGGACCCCCTCCCATCACTACCAAGTCGGGGGCTAGAATCCCGCATTTCGACAGCTTTTGTTCTGACGATTTCTCACCTGCTGAGCTCAGCTGGAATATCGGGCCTAAACGATCCAAGATTCGGGTAGGCTCCGAGCCCATCGGTCCATACGCCGGGACAGCCAAAGACCCTTTCAATCAGGACGAATCTGAGGTGGTCATGTCGCGCCTGTTACGTCAAGGCCGTGGCCCTGTCGACGGGGAGCTCTGGGAGTTCTTCAAGAAGCACCTCCACGTTGAAGCCAAGCACGCGAACGAGATTGTGTCCAAAATGGCGCCCAATGAACACATGACAACCAATACCATCTCATTCGATCTAGATGACGAACAGCCGGCTCCGAAAGTCTACTTCTACCCTATCCCAATCTCTCTTTTAGCGAATAATCATGCTGGGGAAATCATCACTGATGTTGTTGCGCAACTGCCGGTAAACCTGGAGCCTGCTTTCAACTACGTCCGGGAGTTCGTGTACCGCTACAAGAAGCAGCGCAACAACGAATCCATCTTGCGGCTGGAACTTATTGCATTTGACGCCGTGCGCCCAGTAGAATCCCGCTTCAAGCTGTACCTCCGAACGAAGGAAACCTGCCTGGCGCGGGTGGAGGAGGTGTACTCACTCGGGGGTGCGCTCAAGGGTCCCGAGATAGACCACGGCTTGGGTCTGATCCGCTCTTTTTATCTACACGTTCTGGGAACGACAGCTCCAGAGGAGGATCTACCTCACAGTACACACCGCACGGCAGGAATCATCTTCAATATGGAGATGAAGCATAACAGCCCTGCTCCAGTGCCGAAAGTGTATATCCCTGTGCGCCATTATGGCGGCACGGACTTGCGGGTTGCCCAATCACTCAGTAATTTCTTCCGTGCTTGGGGGCTTATTCATATGGCCGACACGTATGTGGCTGCTGTTCAAAAAGCTTTGTGGGTCTTCCATTTCAGTCATCGTATCACTCGCCGCATGCGCATAAAGCTAACTCTGCTTCGAATCTTTGAAGCCCGAATCAGGATTTTTCCACAACAATTGGACGGCATTCTTATGTCGGCTTGTCGTACAACAAGAACGGACCCTACATCACCATGTACTACAACACGATGACCTTCTCAGCAGGCAACGAGCGAGACGTCAACGGCAAGCTTGTTGGACCTGCAGCCATGAAACAGCGTCACCTGTTAGACTAATAACTCTTAGTTAGGCCTGGTAGAACTGCCGCTAGCGAGTTTAGATATATCCTTTTCAAATGAGCCGATGTTCCAAAATTAAATTGAGTGAACGTTGAAAAGATGATGTTGTGATATAAGCCGTAAGTACGCAGTGGCAATTACGGATCCGCTTTTGTCATCACAGTTATGAACCCGCTCTACCCTGGACCTCTGTGTGCCTTAACGGCATACGCATGTGCTATATTAGAGACCCCCGCAATCCTGAGGGCCCAGGCTCAAGCACTGTTTGGGGTAGCGGTTACCAGGCAGACACGCTAAGGGTCAAAACTGGGGCAGCACTTAAGTCATTAAAGTACCTCTTAAAGTCTCTTGCTTAGCGTGCATAGACCCTAGCACAGACTAGCTTACCTTTTTACTAAAAAATAAACCTAAAAAAAATAAAGATATCTCTATTAGCTTAAGATAGATCTAGAAAATAATATTATAAATTAACTTTTTAAAAAAAATCTACTTTTAAAAATACTACTTATTTAAAAAGTAGCTTAAATAGTATTTATATATACTATTAGAAAAGTTTTTCTTATTAACTTAAAGTTAAGGACTTAAAGTTAGTAGTATAAAAATAGATAGGAGGTAGGCTAGTTACTTAAGAGGATATAGGTTAGTACTTAGAGACACCTGGTCTAAGATGCTAAATTTGATCTATAGTGTCTGCCTGTTAACTGCTACCCTGTTTGGGGCGGTTGAAGCCACCACCTATACTTTGGAGAGATGTACCTGATTAGAGAGTTATTAAGCGTGTGTTCTATATTACTAGCCTTCTGACAAAGTAGTGTTGAAAACCTGGGGGGGGGGGTTGTGATATAAGCCGTAATTGCGCAGTGGCAATTACGGATCCGCTTTTGTCATCACAGATGAATAAGAAGTAAAGGCATGACTATCCTTAAACTGTGAAGTCTGCTAAAGGGTGCGACTGATTTATTGACTGAAGTATCAATGGCCAGGAAGAAATCCAGTGTGCGCAAAATAGCCGAAAATGTTTCAACGCACAGCCGACTATGCAGTTCAACTGATCTTCAAGCTTGGCTGCATAAATGGACTGATTTCTCTACCATAGTTTGAAGTTTGCTATCCACTACTACAAATTCCAACGATCGAGTACGGACTCTACGTGTGATAGGTATATTTAACCGGAGAGTCCGGTATGAACCCACAGACCGGGACTGTGCCGAAACTCAAATGTCTGACATAAGTCAAAAGCACGTGGTTACGACAAAACTCGGTGTAACTGACTTAAGCTGGGGCTGTAAGCTGGCGACAAGACAAGCCGGTTGCACGCAAAAGCCTTTGGAGAAAGGTACTCTGACACCACGCTCATGCCACCTTAAACATCAACATAACAAATTTCTCACTTTCTCATACTGTAACGATCACACTACTCATATTATTCATGCAGGCGCGCAACGATTTTTACATAATGAGCAAAAGACAACAAAGCCGGGAGTGACTTTCTTTGGAATAATAGGATAGAGATAAGACTAGCCAAGTCGAATCTCAACAATCGGATGGTTATACGTAATGGTCTGTTGAAACCTGTTTGAGCGACGCCGAGACTCAAAAGTTCGAAGCTTTTTAAGCTTTGGAAAAGGTTTCATCAAGAGTGAGCTGCAATAGGAAGTTCCCCGGAGTCGCGAACTTCACCGAAGTCGCGAACTTGATTTGATCACTTCACTACCTGTGACGCTCGTTTCGGCAGTCGTCTGGATGAAAGACGGAACGTTTTTCGACGCAGCGACAGAATTCTACTTAAACATTGAACAACAGGGACAACCCGAACGGACACAAATGGGGCACCGCCCGGATGTCCAATTTCCTCGCACTTGGATAGAGAAGACTTGATAGGCATCAGCAAGACTGAACAGTAACTCGGGTAAAGAGCTTCCTAAAGAAGCATCATCTAGGATCATGAGATACATGTTACACATTTATTGCCCATAAAGGTAATGAAACGAATGACCTCCTGACTTTTGTTACATTTTATCCGACAGGGGTGCCGTAGCGACAGAGGAATGGTCATTTATGTGATTCTGTTCTCTTCTGTTGAAATTCATGAGCTCAAATATCTCTAATTGAAGGCTGATGTTTGATTTGGTGTCAATAACACACTTCGCGCGTTCTCATCACTCGGATCAACAGCAAAAACCATTATCCAGTCGCCATGGAAAGCTTTAGGTCCATTTTCGAGCTCATGGCAACCAGGGCGGCCATCGTGGTCTTCGGCTTCTTCATTCTAGTTCTGTGCCTTGTTTACCGAGCATTGCTACCCCGGCCTCTGCCCGGTATCCCTTACAATGAGGCTGCAGCAAAATCGATCCTAGGTGATATGCCTGAGATGATAGGCCATGCCCAGAAGACGGGAGAGATGTATGACTGGCTTGGGGCGCAGAACATTAAACATCGTTCGCCCATCGTACAAGTCTTCGGCAGACCATTCAGCAAGCCCTGGGTCATTATTTCGGATTTCCACGAGACACAAGACATCTTGGTTCGCCGAAGCAAAGAATTCGACAGGTCAGCATTCACTGCCGACGTTTTGGGTGGCGTCATCCCGGAACACCACAGCAGGTGGCAGACAAACGATGAATACAAGAACCGCCGACGATTGATTGAGGGTATCCTAACTCCCAACTTTCTCAACAAGGTTGCAGCCCCTCTTCTT